ACACCAGCCCTGCTCACACCAGCCCTGCTCACACCAGCCCTGCAAACACCAGCCCTGCTCACACCAGCCCTGCAAACACCAGCCCTGCTCACACCAGCCCTGCAAACACCAGCCCTGCTCACACCAGCCCTGCAAACACCAGCCCTGCTCACACCAGCCCTGCAAACACCAGCCCTGCTCACACCAGCCCTGCAAACACCAGCCCTGCTCACACCAGCCCTGCAAACACCAGCCCTGCTCACACCAGCCCTGCAAACACCAGCCCTGCTCACACCAGCCCTGCAAACACCAGCCCTGCTCACACCAGCCCTGCAAACACCAGCCCTGCTCACACCAGCCCTGCAAACACCAGCCCTGCTCACACCAGCCCTGCAAACACCAGCCCTGCTCACACCAGCCCTGCAAACACCAGCCCTGCTCACACCAGCCCTGCAAACACCAGCCCTGCTCACACCAGCCCTGCAAACACCAGCCCTGCTCACACCAGCCCTGCAAACACCAGCCCTGCTCACACCAGCCCTGCAAACACCAGCCCTGCTCACACCAGCCCTGCAAACACCAGCCCTGCTCACACCAGCCCTGCAAACACCAGCCCTGCTCACACCAGCCCTGCAAACACCAGCCCTGCTCACACCAGCCCTGCAAACACCAGCCCTGCTCACACCAGCCCTGCAAACACCAGCCCTGCTCACACCAGCCCTGCAAACACCAGCCCTGCTCACACCAGCCCTGCAAACACCAGCCCTGCTCACACCAGCCCTGCAAACACCAGCCCTGCTCACACCAGCCCTGCAAACACCAGCCCTGCTCACACCAGCCCTGCAAACACCAGCCCTGCTCACACCAGCCCTGCAAACACCAGCCCTGCTCACACCAGCCCTTCAAACACCAGCCCTGCTCACACCAGCCCTGCTCACACCAGCCCTGCTCACACCAGCCCTGCTCACAGCCCTGCTCGCTCACAGGCCTCTTCTCGACCATCATGCGGGACCTGGCCAACATCACCCACGAAGGCCCCAAGTGGATCATCCTGGACGGGGACATCGACCCCATGTGGATCGAGTCTCTCAACACCGTCATGGACGACAACAAGGTGCGAGGGGCTCATCAACGAGTTCAAGACCATCAAGTTCCCCTCGCAGGGCACCGTCTTCGACTACTACCTGGACCCCGACAGCAAGAAGTTCCTGCCCTGGATGGACAAGGTGCCCTCCTTCGAGCTGGACCCCGACGTCCCGCTGCAGGTAGCTGTCCTGGACTTCGAGATCCCCCAGAACCCCTGTCACCCTCCACCCCACACAGCAGGCAGGACGCGGGGGGTGGGGCGGCGTCTGTCTGGGGCTCCGCACGGACGGTTATGAACAGGGACAGTCCGTGTCACAAGGTGTGCTCCTCGCGTGACCCCGTTCCACATGTGACCCTGCTCCATGCGTGTCCCGTCTTAGACATTTTTGGCAGCAGCGTGGGTGGAGGGTGCAGACATGAAAAGCATTCTTGTCCAGTTACACGTGGCATAAGGCAGAAAAAATAGCTAATACCTTGGAAGGAAGAATGATCTAGAAGCAGCTTAAAAGATGATTCTCAATCGAGCACGGGAGGGAATGCAGGATTCCCGGGCCAGGGGAGGGGTCGTGTGAGAGTGAAATCCTAATCCTTGTCCCGGGGCGGGAGGGGGCAGAGGCGGGACCGGGGTCAGGGACACAGAGACACTGGGTTGGGGGGAGCCAGTCAGCAGTGGGGCCCGGGTGCAGGGTCCCGGCTCCCTCCCCCTCGTTCTGAGATGTGTCCGCGTGGGGCACCCTCGGCAATGGCGCCTTGGCTGCTGGGAGCCACCGTGGGGCCCTCCCTCGCTAGGTCCTCACCCTGGCCAGCAACGAGCGGATCCCCCTGAACCGCACCATGAGGCTGCTGTTCGAGATCAGCCACCTGCGGACTGCCACGCCGGCCACCGTCTCCAGAGCCGGCATTCTCTACATCAACCCTGCCGACCTGGGCTGGAACCCGTGAGTTGGGGTGTCTCTGCCCCGCTCCAAACTGGCAGAGAGATGAGGCTGGGGGCGTGTCCGTTACACACGTGACGAGGCTGGGGCCTGTCAGTTTCACGTACATGATGAGGCTGGGGCGTGTCAGAGATTCACACGCATGTGATGAGCCTGGGGGTGTGTTGGTTACACACATGACGAGGCAGGGGCGTGTCCGTTACACATGTGACGAGGCTGGGGCCTGTCAGTTTCACGTACGTGACGAGGCTGGGGCGTGTCAGATGTCAGTGTCCTGTGCTGCAGAAAAGGCCCACAGCTGGAGGCCTCATGTAGAGGAAGTCTATTGGCTCAATTCGCCAGGGCAGAGGCGCAAGGTGCAGTCGGAGAAGGCCAACCTGATGATCCTCTTCGACAAGTACCTGCCCATGTGCCTGGACAAGCTGCGCTTCGGCTTCAAGAGGATCACGCCGGTGCCCGAGATCACGGTGATCCAGACCATCCTGTACCTGCTCGAGTGCCTGCTCACCGAGCGCAACACGCCGCCCGACTCGCCCAAGGAGCTGTACGAGCTCTACTTCGTGTTCGCCTGCTTCTGGGCCTTCGGGGGCG